GGGTCACCAGCTACGGTCTTCATATGCCACCTCAACAACCGCCGAGACTGGGCAACGGGCCTGCAGGAAGTCGAACAAGGTTACCAAAGGAGCAGGGGCTGCAGCTACCTGGAGCAGTTTGTAACTGCGCGGTTGTTACTCTGCAGCCGCCCACTTGCAAAGACACCATCATTACTTATTCATGACCCGCAATTCCCGAGCTCTACAATCCACATCCGGAGTCCCCGAATCGCTGAACCCTGCACCCAAAGTCTTTGAGCCCCCATTGGATGATTCTCCACAAGGATACAGACGGCGACGGCATTTGCGAGCCGTGCCCGTACATGATACAGTGGCTCGGGCGGGGTTTTCTTCAAAGTAGTGCAGGGTTATGGGGTATCGGCGGTACAGGGATCGCGCTCCCTATAAAGTACAGCACCTATCTCCATGAGGACATACCACAACACCTGAACTTACTGACACACCCCAATATACCTTGTGTCCCCACCATGTCCCCACAATTAACAAACGATCGTACCCTTGCACCTCTCGGATGTATCCTCGCTTCGGTTGTTTGCTAGCTTTTTGTCGGGTTGAGGTTTCTACCTCTATAACACCCTATGATCGCTTTGAGAAAACCGAGGAAAACCTGCGAGACCCCATAATCGTACTCCTGACACCTAAACCCTGACAGTCTGGGCTTTCGGGGTTTCGTGCTTCAGGTTTCTGTGTTCTGCTCGGGGAACTGACGGGTTTCACGGGGTTTTGCAGGGTCTATTTGGCTAGTTAAGCGGGGGGGCCTGTTGGAACGAATAGTCGAAGCGTTGCACATAGTTAAGTAGGGATGTATTTGCACTGTCATTGTCAAGTAAACCAGAAACCCAAACCCAAGTCCCTACAGAAGCACTTCTAGCCGAAAGGAGCCACAAAGAAGCTTTAAAGGAACTGTTGAAAGAACCCTCAAGCTCAAAATCCTCAAAGCCAAACTTGAAACCCTCAAGTCTAAGCTCCCTAAACCCTAAACCCTTAACCGGCCACAGCGTCGGAAGTTTGATCTTCGAGGACTTCGGGGGACGAGCCCGGGGCGCAATGTGTCCTCGACGGGCTCCGGGTCTTGGAGGCCATCTGTTGGCAGCCAGGCCTGATTTGATGGGGGGGTTTTAGGGTTTAGGGTTAAGGGGGGGTGGGGGTGGGTTCATAGGGTTTGTAAGCTCTGTACGTATAGCGGTCTCAGAAGGCTCTTACAAGAGTTTCGGTTGTCGGATATTAGGTAGGGCTCGTAGGGCTCTTCAAACATGCTATAAGGGTCGCATAGGTTCTTACAAGGGTTCAGGTTCCATGGGTCGGGTTTTGGGATGTAACGGGCTCCGTGCTTCGACCTTGACGGTATAGGAGGTTATAATTCAAGAGCAGTGATGATTAGACTGGGGCTATTGTCGGATAGTTGCCCGCGTGTGAGACTTAAGACGTTGGATGTAAAGCACAAAGGGTTCTTGGTGGTGGTGAAAGGCATTCGTTTTGCCGAAATTGGCTCGAGACTGAAAGATGCAGGCTTCCGACGAAGGTATGCTTGAGATCCTTCCTTGAAGTACTTGGCTTGGTTCGAAAGCCAGTTTTGGGCCACTTATTACTTAGCCCTAAGCCCCTAAACCGCGGGGCCTAGGCCCTACACCCCTAAAGCCCATGGACCCGGAAGCCAAAGCGCATTCTGTAGGGAGTTCTTCTAAGCTGTAGTTGACGAACAAGAGGAGATGCTTTTCAGGAGCCTGAGCACCTGTGTGGGTTTCCTGAGGTCACCCAAGCAAGCTGGGGAAGTCAACACACGCTCGTTCTTTAGCATTGCAGTTTGATCGCTAGTGGGGGTTTGTCTCGAGGGGTTAGGAAGTAGGCAGTCAGAGGGCATGGCGAGGCTCTTAAGTCCGCCCGCCCAATTCCTAAACCCTGAATCCTCGACTCTCAGCAGCCCAGATGCCCGACCCCAAAAGTGTAAGCCCTAAGACGCAATGCGTTTCTGCCCAAAGACGCCAAGGTGGCTCGTCAGCATGCTGCAGCTTGGCTGCTTGTGGTGTATTTCGACATAAGTCACTTGAGACTTCGGGCTTTGGGGTTTGAAGGTGCGAAGGTTTTTTGTACAAAATTTGGGATTGAGGGTTCAGCTTTAGAGTTCAGGTTTTCATGACCAGGCCAGCGCGGGCATCGGGGCATAAGGAGCTTTCCGTCACGCATGCATGGGGCAAGCTATGCAGATGTTGGTGTGAAGATCTGCTGCTGCTGCCTTTCAGCTTGTGTTGTTGTTGTTGTTGTTGTTGTTGGTGCTATGTTGTGTTGCTGGTGGTGCTGTTGTTGTCGCTGGTATTGCTGCAGCTGCTGCATCAGCTGCTGCTGATGATGACGGTGACGACGAAGATGAGGACCATGATGAGGGAGTGCATGTTGGGTACTCTGGTTGATCATAGCGGCAATGACATGCTTACGGCGATACTGGATGATGGTGATGGTTTTGGTGATGATGGTGTTCTGGATGAAGATGACGATGTTTTTTGACGGCGACGAATGGCAACAAGAGGAAACTAAAGCATGGCAAGGGTACAGTAGTTACATGATGAAAAAGACTTGCAGTGGTGCACCTGCCGCGCCGGTGGCTTCATGAGCAGATGGAGAGAACGGTGTTGATGCTGACAGCTTCTAGCTACAACACCTCTACTTTGGCACTTTCGCGAAATCAGGCTTCGCCCGGATGATAAGGAAGCTTAGAAGGGACCCGATTTACTGAGATAATGTGATTTAAGGCTTAGCTCAAGGTTTTGGACATGGGGCTTAAGGTTTCGGGTCTATCTCTGTCAAGAGTGCCGCTGTCTGCGGGTACCCCTGTGTCGTTAGACTGGCTGGTTCGATCATGAACATGCCCCATGGAACAAACGAGTGCCCGCAGGCATGGTATCGCTGTTAGGTGGAGTATTTGGGTCATGTTTGGCGGAGTCGTGCATCTTTCGGTGCGCTGGAGAGCATGGCGTGATGGCTGACGTTGCATAATTGTTTATCGCGCCATCGCCACGACTGTCAGCTTTCCCTGACAGTCTTATGACTAAGACTTGCATCGTGCTTGTTCTGATTGTGATGCATGTTTCTAGTTGTGATGCATGGCTTTTGTTTGTTGGTTCATGCATGTTCATGCTGCCACTGCTGCTTTGACTGTGATGGTGCCGATGGTTGTGCTTAATGCTGCTGCTGCTGCGGCGGCAACTGTTGATAGAACTTTTTCAACAGGCATATCATATCCCTAAAGTATCTGGATACTTTTTTTGGGTTCGTTGCTCTGGCTTCTGTAAAAGGGATCTTGCTGCCCTTCTCCTGCCAACTTGCAGGTTCTTTATGGCCTTTACAGCAAGCTTCCGGTTCAGCAGGACGCGATTTAAGCCTCAACCCTGAAAGCCCCAAGAGCCCTAAACCACATACTCTGCACATACTCCCAAACCTACGCCGACAATGACCCCGAACCTCAAGAGCCCTGAAGCCCCAAAGTCTGTCCCCGGAACCCTTCAGGCCCACCCAGAACCTTTTGAGGATGTCGATTTCCGATCTCAGGTTGAGTTCGGAGAGCTTCACGAGCTCCGGGATGCTAATAAGTACAAAGATAACGAGACTTCAGAAGAACTCATCGTGAAGACCACATAACATAACATATATATAATATATGCGTATGCATATGCATATGGATATGCATGTATGTATGTTTGTGTGTATACACATATATGCACCCGTACGTGAGAAAAGGACATCTGCTGAAGAACAGAAGCTCTAACCCTAAGCCCTAAATCCTCGACGAGAACTCCGTCTCTATCATCCCAACAGACCCAGAAACTAGCGCGTCCTTCAAGCAGAACCCTAAACCCTGTACTTGTGCACCCTAGCAGCATCTAGTACTACCTTGACAGCATTCCAGGAGCTGAGTAGCAACCCGTTGAGAATGTGAAATCTCAATAACACGATCCGTACAAGATCTTGCAAGACCATTGTATCTAACCCCAAACGTGAACCCAGAAACCCTGAACATAAACCCTAAAGCCGTCACCCTTAAACCCTAAACATGTCCAAGCCCTAAGCCCGAAAGCTTCAACCCTACACCAAGGTTACCCTAAAGCTCGGGCCAGAATATACCATAACGTACCATAATATGCTACAGTATTCTATAAGTATAACCTGTTATCACAAAGCATACTATAACCTATGATAGTATACTGTAATATGCTTTAATACGCCGCTTCGAGAGGACGGTGGGGTTCGAAGGCATCCCCAGGCTCATCGAGGACATTTCCCAGGAGTCCGGGAAGCTGATCGTCACGGCGGCTTTGGCTAAGGGCTGGCTGAGGAAAGGAACCTTTCAGGCATGCCATAAAGGAATCCTTAGACAACCCCTAAACCCACGCGAGTGAGAGTTTTTTTGGAGAGTTGAGGGTGCGGGATGTAGGATTAGGGTGTTCGGTGTTTGAGGGGGTTGGGGTTTAGGGGTTAAGTAGGACTGTACGATGTTAGGGTTCAAGAGGTAGGCGTTTAGAGATTACAAGGCTTTTAGGATGGTGCCGGCTTGCGGAGTGGGCGAGCACTCCGGGTGCCTTACACAACTGAAACAAGCTCTTTAATTGCTACTGTTGCAAAGACATACTGCTGTGTCAGGGTGTCTGCCTGCTTTGGCCAAGTGTGGCTCTTATGTGAGATAACCCTGAGGCCTCACGAGGCTTCAGTGGGCTTACTCAGCATACCAAAATTCCCGGTAGCTTTAATCTAGCCAATCATTCAGGTTTCGCGAGCAGGGGTCCGAGTTGGTTTGAGTTTAAGGTTTGGGCTCTTCGATTTATCTGGGCTTTCAAGTTTTGAGCCGCGGAACTTATCGTTCTTGCCACACATTCGAGTTTAAGTTGCCAGAATAGCTGTTGATAGTAAGTAGTATTGCCCTTATTTTGGTAGTTCAAATACAGCCCGAACCGTTGAACCGCCAGGTCGTCGGTCATCACAACCTGTTCATGCTCGCGCCGAATCACTCGATACCTGTGACTCTTTGGTTCACGGGCCACTTCCTCCTGGTGCCCCTGCAGCAATTTCATTTATGGTTTAGCTTTTAGGCCTGTGTAGTAAGGATTGCATAGGATCCTATGTGGCTTCTGTAGCAGATCTACAATTGGGGTAGGCTGAGGTTGTAAATGGGTGGAGGGTCCCACAGTCGTACTTGTATTGTGGGGGGTTTTCTGATGAAAAACGGCCATGGGGGAACTGCGGGCTTTGAGCCGTGTTAAACATCAGAGTTCCAGGGCTTAACAACAACAATACAACTACAACAGTGACAACAACCACAACAGCAACAACAACCAATAGTAATCCTACTATTACCATTATTACTATTTACTATTCTTGTTTGTACTACTGTTACTACTACTACTACTACTACTACTACTACTACTACTACTACTACTACTACTACTACTACTACTACTACTACTACTACTACCACTACTACTACTACTACTACTACTACTACTACTACTACTACTACTACTACTACTACTCCTACTACTACTACTCCTACTACTACCTACTACTCCTACTACTCCTACTACTCCTACTACTCCTACTACTCCTACTACTCCTACTACTCCTACTCCTACTCCTACTCCTACTCCTACTCCTAGTCCTACTCCTACTCCTACTCCTACTCCTACTACCACTCCTACTCCTACTCCTACTCCTACTACTCCTACTACTACTAAGCATCTCGGCTCGCTACACTCTGCCCCGGGGGTGACTTTAGGTTGTTTCGGAAAGCTGTCTTGCGTTTGCATTTCTCGGCAGGGTTGGGGGCTCCTAGATATAGGGCATGACATGGAGCGGCGTGCTCCCCCATGGACCTAACAAGCTCTCCTGCGTGCGATGCTGCGAAGACTCTGCACAGCATAAACACATTCTTTATCTCGCTTTGTCGCATATGCTGCCGCGCTGGAGAATTCTTCCACACTCTGCTCAGCTGGACCTTTACAGGCTGTACCTGGGTGACTGGGAAAGCACCTCAGAATTTTCTGTCTGGGATAATATCTATCCTCTGCTTTCCTTGGAATAGCGGTATCCCTTCTACAGGGAAGCGTCTTTGGTTTGCCCGGACTTCGCGAACTCTATGCAGGATTACTGGTACAGGTCGACAGCAAGGTTGCATCTGGAGGAGATGGACTGAGCAGAGGTTGGCGCACTCGTCTGCGCCCCGGGTCACAGCCACTGCGGTCGACGGAGTCAATCACACACCATGAGATGCCCCAGCCTCGGTCTTCGCGACAGGACAGTGGAGAGTTGGTCTCGTAAGAGTTTCGTGCACACCAGTGCCATGAGACTCTTAGTTTGTTCTTTGCTGGTGCGTCACTGTTTTGACGGTGTCATGCGATGGCACCTGGCCATGGGCAAATCTCGTGCCAGGGCCTCACCGCAGACTGTGTACAGGGCCGAAGGCACTCCTGAGGAATCATGCGATGTGGCCATCCCCGCAGCTGACTGCAGCATGCTGCAGAGCGATTTGGACCAGACCGCAGGACTGACAGTCGGATGGCATAGGCCCCAGGGACTGCCATTCTGCCCGAACAGCACACTAGTGTCACAGTCCTACACACTGCAATCACAGCTCAAGCCCAGGCTGCATTTCAATATCGGTTGCCAGGGTCCTGCTGCATGGCGTCTCCCGGGTCCTCTGACCTCCCGGGCCGAAGGATAAAGACTGCTAGAGACTAGGCGCGCCGTCCTGACAAACGGACGAGAGCTGCTCTCAAAGCTGGCAGAGGCCGACCCCTAGCTCCTCCTGCCCGAGACGCCGGCCAGCCTCTTCTTCTACTGCCACCCCTCCTCCGCTCACTGTGTTTTCAGCTAACGCCACGGAGTTCCAGGCCATCCCGGCACTCCGCCCCCGCCACCTCGGGCACCTTCTCGGCCAGCTCACAACGACAGAGCGGAGGCACGGAGCGACGACATGGCGGACATGGAGGTGGAGGTAGAAGTAGTTCCTCAAAAAAAACTTGTCGAAGTGGTTGTCAGTGAAGAGGATGACAGCCACATACCACAGCCAAGAACGCCATCTCCGACATCGCCAGCGGAGCCCTACCTGTGGATGTTCCTGCTCCGGCAACGCCTGCAGCTCTGGCATCGCCGACCAATACTGGCGAGACAGCCCCGAACATGCCGACAGTGCCCTGTAAGGACGAGGAGCATGAGGGGCCAGATGAGGGGCAAGACACTGAGGTGGGTGGCGCCCGACAGGCGGCCACTGAGACTGTGACGACTGCTGACAGGGAAGCATTCCTGGTGAAGGCGAGGCCTTTGTCGCCAAGTTTTGCCCAGGTTCCACGAGCCTACTTCTTCTGCGCCCACTAAGAAGGTCCCGCGGCGAGCGGCAAATCAGCTCCAAGACGATCGCTCGCGCTACCGCTGTCAAGAGCAAGAGCTCTCCGGCAGCCACAGGATAGCGTGTTCCTCTTAGCCTCCTCCTCGAGAGGGCACGCCTATATAAAGACCTGCTCGCGAGGGTACGAAGGAGATTGGACATGACCCTATCAGATGCAGCATCTCAAGCCCAAGCTCAGCTTGCCGGTGATTCACAAGGCCGCGACGGAACCGTAAGAGAAGCTCGAGCTCTGGAGGGGACACCAGGCCTCGCCCCAGTATGGCGCCGCACCTTCGGGCACTGCTGCAAAGGCCACCACAGTGAAGCTCCCTCCTCGAGCTCAACGGCACCTCTACTGGCACCTATCCCGGTTCCTTTTGACAGTCAGGCATCCTCGGCATAGGGACCCCGACGCTTTGCTAGCACAGCGTGCGCTAAAATGCTTGTGCGGGCTGGATACAGGTGCAGCGTGTATTTTCGCATCAAAGTACAGGTGCCCAGACTGAAGAGGACTTTTGCAGGTGTGAAAAGAACAAGTGGCGTACCTGCGCCATCACTGCCTTGGGGTAGCTGCCATGCCTTGCAATCATGGGCACTCTGCTCCGCTCCTGCCTGACTCTTTCCAGCATCCTTCTAGCGTACAGCAAGTGAACCCATCGCAGGACCACCACGGCCACTTACGGCCCACCGGACGAGGCACTGGTGGAGAGGCCCCCACCGCCACTGAGGCACGCTTAGTTTTGTGGTCAGGGACTGCTCTGCAGGTTCTCCTCCTTAGGCTTAGGCCCTGGACTTCTCCTTGCTCTCCTCTAGGAGGTTTCTCCTCCGTGGCCAACCGGGACATGCAGCGAATATCCTGTAACCTTCTACCGAAGACCCCGACGACATGCCCTACCGGCTGCGAAGGAACACAGCTCTGGGGCAGCTCTCACCGGAGATCAGCGTAGGCGCAGTAGATGGCCTAAAGCATGCATCAGCCTCGCTGCCACGCTAAGCAGACTGAGGGAACTCTTCATAGAGATGCGATTAAGCTATCTCTCTGGCTTGCCCCCCTTTTCCTCCTCTGTCTTCCAGGCTAGGTGGACCTCCCAACTAGCTGTCGTGCCAGCAGGTCGAACCCCACACAGCAGCGCAGTTTTTCCGTCGAGCCGTCCGGGTCCCAAGTCCCGGAACAGGTGCCTGAAGGTGATTCTGTTCATACGAAGTATTACTCTTACCTTCATTGCCCCTGTAGATGCGAGGGTAGAGGGCATAGTCACGAAACCTTCGGGAGCTTGTCCAATAGGATACAGACAGCCTCCAGCAAAATCAGCGAAGCTTCGTGCATCTGACAACATTCAGGATGTGTACCCACCCATCCGCACCGCTGATTATGAGCAGCTTACAAGAACAGGAAAAAGATCATATCATCGAGCCATACGGCGTGCCGCCAGGGACGGAAGTACAATGTATCGAGGCAGGATGCACACCGTCGCCTCACTGGGAGCCACTGGTGCAACGGCCACCTCCTCTTCACGTGCCCCAATCTCTCCTCTCCCGTCACAAGCCGCTCACTCACGCTGTGGCCACAGTCACTCATCAGACAGATGGAGGGTCGTCTCATGGAATGCGGGCGGGCTATCCTCCTCCCGTCTGCATGAAATCGAAACATGGTTGCGAACGTGCAATGAGAGGGGGCAGACGATTCATGTCTGCATCGTTGTAGAAACGCACTGGGAATTCCAATCGGAAGGGGTTAATTAATTATGGCTGAATATCACGCTCTTCATTCGGGATTGAACCGGCGACAGGCTGGAATACTTGTCTTAATTCACAAAGCTCTAGTCGGCAGCCAGGCCATACGATCAGCCTCAGTCTTGCCAGCGAGACTCTTCCAGGTACGAATGGAAACTGAACCGGCAATCACGCTTTTCGCGGTGTACCAAACGAGGGCTCTCAACAGGAAGACAGTCTCACCCAGAGAGAAACCCTCTGGACCAAATTGGACTCTACCATCAGAGGTGTTCCCAAGAGGTCCCAGCTCCTGATTGCCGGGGATATGAATACACCGTGCCTGCCACAACCACCCCATGTCGGTCCCAGTGTGCTGGCCGAGCCGTCCCGAGTGAAGCAGACTGACCAACATCGTCTCCAGCCCCTCCTCGCAACGCACAACCTCGTAGCCCTGAATACCTGGAGCCGGAAGCGTCACTGTCACACTTACCAATTTGATACTTCCGTTTCATCCCACCGAACCCAAATAGACTTCCTTCTGTTTCGTGTGAACCACACAGATGCTGCCGCAAGATCTGCCCGCACCATCTCAGCATCCTTTGTGTCAGCTCGTGGCGACAACCATTCGTCGCGAGAAGAGGGGACGGCCCCCTTTGGCTCAATCTCTCGAGGCGGATACCGGTCGCCAACAGGAAGCAGCTGAGTTCCGTAGCCACTTCAATGAGGCCTGTCGCATCAGCTCCTTGCAGGGCTCTTGGGCCATTCTTAGCCATGATGGGCTAGAGGACTATGGGGGTGTTAGTCCTGTAGTCCTAAACTGTAGCCTCGAATCCCTGCCGCGAGCTAGAGGCACTAGCACCCTGCAGCATGAGATTAATGCCTGGCACCGCCTCCCCGGCAACCCTGTCCTCACATCAGGTACTGAGTGCGCGGCTTTGCAATTGAACAGATTCCGCCTAGACAACGGCAGATTCTGCAAGTCGAGGGTCCCGATCTCCATGTCGCCGACAGAAACCCTCCCCATCTGGGTACGAGGTTCAGTGGTCCAGACTCGTTTTCTTCTGAGCGCCATCATCGTACACTTAGGTCAGACCCCAAAACTAGGTCATTATCAGGCCTTACTTCTGGAGGCGACTGGCAGAGCTTGGATTGCGGACGACTCTGTGCGGGCGAGACCTCCTGATAAGGCTATGGCTAGAGTGGTTCAAGAGAATGCTTACATTGTACTGGTGCGTCCCGATCCAATGACCGAGCCCTCACGTTTATGAGAGAGCGTCATGGCCTTCTGCTCAGTCAGTTCGCCTGGTGCTCGCAGGCCCTTAGGGGCGACTAGGCTAGGATGGGTGGCAATACGCCACGAAGCAAAGCTTCCGCACACAAGTGCGCCAATCGCTTAGCGGACGAACCTTCCTGCTGCGAGTGTGAGTGAGTGAGTCCTATTACTACTACTACTACTACTACGACTACTACTACTATTACTACGACGACGACGACGACGACTACTACTACTACTACTACTACTACTACCAGCACTACTACTACTACTACTACTACTACTACTACTACGACTACTACGACTACTACGACTACTATTGCTACTACTACTGCTACTGCTGCTTGCTGCTACTACTACTACTACTACGACAACCATTACTAAAACTATTATTATTATTGTTATGAATATTACTTCTCCTATTATTATTATTATTACTACTACTACTACTAGTATTACTACTACTACTACTACTAGTACTACTACTACTACTACTATTTCTACTACTACTACTACTACTACTACTACTACTTCTACTCCTACTACTATTACGACGACTACTACTACTACTACTGCTAGTACTACTACTACTACTACTACTACTACTACTACTACTACTACTACTATTACTACTACTACTACTACTACTACTGCTACTGCTACTGCTACTGCTACTGCTACTGCTACTGCTACTGCTACTGCTACTGCTACTGCTACTGCTACTGCTACTGCTACTGCTACTGCTACTGCTACTGCTACTAGTAGTAGTGCGAGTAGCTCTACTAGTACTACTAGTACTACTAATACTAGTAGTGCTATTAGCACTACTCGTACTACTGGTACTACTGGTACTACTGGTACTACTGGTACTATTAGCACTACAAGCACTACAAGCAGTATTAATACTACGAAACTAGTTTTACAACTGCTTGTGCTAGTACGAGACGAGTGCTGGTACTTGTACTTTTATTCGGAGATCATCATCATCATCATCGTCACCCTTGTCGGCAGCATCAAGCAGCACCGTCCGTCGCCACCATCATCTGCAAGCTATTGCTAAATATCCATAATCACTCCGAAAATTACTTGTAAATCGTTTGACAGTGTTTGAGGAGACTAAAAATGTTTGCAAGACCGTTAAGAAGGCTCCATACAACCTTGTAAATCCGTGAAGAATGCTCCGATTGAGTTTTCCCTTGTAGCAGGGATTTGTTTGGGGCAACTTTGGTCAGATGTAGGGTCCAGTTTAGGGGTTCTGGCTGTGGTGTGGGTTCCGGTTGTGGTAGGGACTACTTTCCCTATGCCACTAAATAGACTCAGACACAGAACCGAAAGTGTTCCAAGGATTCGGCGCCTTCGAAGAGAATCGACTTCCGTGCCCTGGGAGTCCAAGCGGAATCGTTCTGTGGGAATGTTGCAGTATAACTATATACATACTCTAAGTGGATATTGCTGTCACAGTTTTTCCCAATGGCGCAGGCCGGAAGTTAAACATGTCCAGATACTGCGCAGCTGTTGGGGTGATCTGGAACACAGAATAACTCGGCTAAAGCTTATGGTTTTAGGTTGAAGGTTGTGCTTTAAGACGTAATGGAATACACAATCCTTCAAACATGAAACCCTCGAGCCCGATGACATGTCATAGTAATCATGTGAAGCATAAGTGCCGGACGGCACCACCACCAAACAGTTCAATCTTTTAACCCACACCCTGGACCACAAACCCATAATCCAAGTCTCAAATCCCGAAGCCCTCAAACCTAGCCTAAACCTGAGGCCCTAAGCTTTAGATCTAACCTATTCCCAAAACCGTAAGACTCGAACCCCCGTGGAATCCTGGCTAAAGCCCTCAAAGTCCCCATCCCAAAAGAACAGCATCAAACCCCTGAAAAAACATCAAAACCCACCGTACATAGCTCTGAAGCCCTTAATTAACTCTCGTGACATAATCTTAATCAGCCCCAAACCCTGAACTTAAAACCCTAAACCCAGGCCCGAAGACCTAAACCCTAAACCTTCAACACAACCAGGGAACCTAAAAGCAACCCCTCTAACACCCTAAACCATAAATCCTAAACCCACAGCCGAAAGTCTCGAACCCTCAAACAACAGCCACCCATTTGAAATGCCAGACCTCTACATAGAGCCGCAAACCCTAAGCTCCAAGCCGCAAGCCCTAAATCCACAAACAGCAGCCACAAAAGATTTCAGGTGCCCGACCTCTACATAGTCCAGCAAACCCTAAACTCCAAACCCCCAGCGCAAACCCAATGCCACAAACTTCAAATTCGCAAACCAAAGCTACAAAGATTTCAGGTGCCCGACCTCTACACTTCAACACCTTGGAGCTCTTGGATTCCCAGGGTGAACCGCTGGACTTCCGCGCCGACACTTCCATGGGCCCCTCTGCCCAAGGGTTGTAAAGGGATCTTTGCAAGGGGTTCCCGCTTGAAAACAAGTTTTGAAGGGTTCTTGCAAAGGGTTTCCCCAGAGTTTCTTCATCAGTCATTTTTGTTATGAGGGTTTTATACCGTCTCGAAGGGCTTTGCAGGATTTTGACACGGTTTGCTAGGGATTTCTTAGAGGTTGTATATCGTGGCTCCCTGAAATGTGGATATTTGATCTTGCTATTTAGGTTACACTCGGCCATGTTTGCACAATCCAGCCAGAATGAGGCACAAATTGTAAATCTGGGGTTGTACGTACCCTAGTTAGGTTACTCGAGTAGCATATCTACGTATAACCAACTGCGAAATCTCTGAGAATCTTATTCCACCCACGATCCCTGAACTTCGCAGGTCTGATCAAGCCCGAATTCCCTTGAACTTACACCCTACACTGTTGCAGTGGCTCTGAATATTTGACAGCAGTATCCCATTGTAGTTTCCACGCGATAATTGAAACTCGCATTTAAACGCTTCGCGTCGTCCGCCTCTGCCCGGCTGTACTTGAAGCAGGCGCATTGTTTCGGAGAGCAACGGGTAGGTCACACAGGTGAGGTCTTGAGTGAATGAGTGCGTTGGCTTCAGAAGGTTTGTCCAATGTCAGTACTTGTTGTCATGTTGAGTCTCTGAGCAAGACTCTCACGCAAAAGGTGGCACATTCCCTGCATTATGCCATTGACATGAGTATAACAATCGTACAGTAGCACACTTCTCACTGGTCTCGTATACAACCTCCCATATGTTGGAAGGGGAATCAAGCTTTGCAACGAAGTACAAGACACAGCCCCAGAATTGCCAGGCTTTGTTTGGCATCAGCTTCGCGAATGAGTAAGCTAGCCCGTCTCAACCCCTTAAGGGTCCTTGAAGAGCCACTTGAATGTAGGGGTTGCTTTAAGGGTTCCAACACGGATTCCTCTTAAGGGTCCCTTCTTTAATTCGAGGGTTATTTCAAGAACCAGGGGTTCCTTCAAGGAGCCACAGCAGCTCCTGTAACGAAGATTAGGAAGTCTTCCATTGGGACCTGTCAGGTCTTCTGCGCCTGTCGATGCCCCGGGCGATGTTTCATTCTGCGCTCAGAGGGGCGTCCCGCCTCGTTATGTTCGAGTGTTTTAGGGTTTGTGGGGTCTAGGGTTAAGTTTAGTGTTGAGTTTTGGGGTTCAGGTATTTACCGATAACCTTTGCAATAGAGTTCGTTGTCGGGTTTCTAGGCTCTGAGCTCTTGTCTCTGAAGGGGCTGTCTGTTTCGGGCTGAGGGCTGCGAGAGCTGAGTGTTTAGGTTTGAGCTTTTCACGTTCCCGTTTTTGTTACAGTGGCGTCCCAAAGATAGCAAAGTAAGCAGAACGGCCTCTAACATCTTCAACGGCCCCCATTTCAGGGTGATTTCGGGCTCAGGTTTATTGAACAAGTGTTCTCGGGATTCTCATTCGAAATATGTCTGTAGATTATTTGTGGTAAAAGTTCCGTGAAGGGAGCTCTAGTTAGGAGGCAATACGCAGCTCTCATGCCTGCAGTCTTGACAGCAAGGGATCGTCGAAATCGAGAACAGTCATAGTCATGTTGAGAATCGAGAGTCTGAAATCCGAAACTCTAAGCTTTACATGCTGAAAGTATCAAACGACACGGCGCCAAATTTTAACCCCCACACCCCAAGCCTTAAGGCAACCACCCCCAAGCCGCTTTAAACAGATTCCCAAACCCTAGCCTTAAAACCCGCAAAGCCCGATGTCTTTAATTCAGTGTCGAATCATACGAAGAACACACCTCCAGGGTGGCGTCTCCTGCAGCAAAAGCCCGCACGCAGGTTTAAGGTAGGGTTTGGGTATTTAGGTTACTACTCGTAGGACTTATGACAGATGTTCCCCACCCTCCACAACAAGCACTGGACCTCCCTGAAAATTACAACGACTGTCCTTGTACCTCGAATAAGCATTGCTAAGACCTTGCGAAAAGCTCTTTCAGAGGCCCTTTCAAACCCTAAACCTTGATTTGCATAAGATCTTCATGTCAAGCAGTATGATAAATCCTACCGTCAACGTTTGCAGCCTTGAGAACAGCTACAGACCCCTTATTCTCAACATTAAGCTAGGTGCAGATTCCGCTCTTCGTTCAGATTCTGACGCTGGCAACGGCCTGGCTTTTGCTGAGCGACCGGTCAGAGTTTCAGGGGTTGGAAGGTAGGTTTTGGGTTTTATTTCATGGAGTAGATGTGCGTGTGTGTGTGTATCAGTGTAGAAGTACAAACTTGGCATATATACATATATATATATATACACCTTTCTGTTGGGGTTTGGGGTTTAAGGTGTCCAAAGTCAATTTTCCAAGTATGCAGACCACGTGTGAACTGACAGTGCGTGCTGCAGTCCCCAACCAAAGCCTGTGTACCCCGAAAGTGCCGTGTCACAATTCGCGTCCCTTGGTTATTGAGGAACCGGATTCAAAATACCATACTTACTAGGCGTACCTGGTGAGAAAATGCTTTCCTTGTTATGATACGTGCGTCAAGTTCCTTAGAATCCGATCAAAGAAGTTCCTTAGCCCGAACCCCAAATCCTAAACCGTAAATGAAACAAGTTCCTTCGCCGTGAGATTCAGTTCCGCAGCAACTGCCTGGGCCCGGCTTCGGAATTAAAACATCGCAATAAGACTATCAATAGCAATAAATAGATGCGTACTACTCATAAGAGTAATAATACATAAGAACAGTAACAACAATAATGATAATACGTATTTTAGAAATCGAAATACAAGAAAAGCATTTTTTACGATACATGCATGACAATGACAATAATAATTGAAAGCATCACAAGCTTGACTATGCCCGAGGTCGGTAGTTGAGGGTTTTAGGATTACGGGCTGAAGATTTTGCAGGATTTGGGGTTTTGATGGGTTTTGAGCCTTGGCGGTTTTACAAGGGGTTTGGGGATGTTGGGGTTGTGGGTGTTCAGGTAGGGTCTAGGGTTTAGGACGTAGGCAGTTTAGGGTTAACCCTGAGCCCTAAATCCTAACTTAAAACTCTAGGCCATCAGCCCTCGACTGGGAATCCGAAACCCCCAACTCTACGAGCCACAGCTGTTGTTTCGTAGGGTACAAGGGTTCGGGCAACAAGGCTCTGAAGGCTCTGTAAGGTGTTTAGGGCTCTCCCGTAGTTACCGTCTTTATTTGGACGTGGGGTGGGGGAGGGTTGGGGTGGTGTCCTCCGTAAGCTGAGTAATCTTTGTTCAGGGGTTACTGGGAAACACATCACAGTACCCGAGAAGACCCTGCCCTGCACCACCCTTACAAATTCAAAAAACCTTCTTCAACGCCCTTTTAACATCCTGTAAAGCCTAGCAAGACCCGGTCAAATCCGTAACACCTGACAAAGCTGACAAATTCCCGATAAAACCGCCATAGAACACGTGTCCGAGGCTTCTTGTTGCAGCCCTCCTGGCCAGAAGTGTTGGTGGCAACTCGGACGGTGTTATTTTTGATATATTTTGTTGCTTTCGATAGGGTTCGTTGGTGCAAAGGTTTGGCGCGCAGGCTTCAGGGGTTAGAGCTTTAGGCTTCAGGCTTCGAGGTTTAGAGGTTCTGCAGTTCAAGCTCGAGGCCTTAGAGTTAGGGGCTTGGGATTCAAACTGCTGAGGTTTAGAGGTTTGTTTTTTTGGGCAGTGTGGCGTGTTCTGTCTTCTGCTGTAAATCGCAGGTCCTAGATGCGAATCCTTCCGCATGGTACGTGGGCTTACGGTTTGGATTCTGGTTATGGGTTTGAGGATTGGGTGGTTACTGGTTTGGGGTTTTGGCCTCAGGATTTAGGGAATTAGGGGCTGAGGGTTTCTGTTTGTCAGCATCCGCATGGACGTCACAGAGCCGGGACCCTCCCAAACCCCTAACCTCAACCCCGGCAGAAAGAATGAGCCTCTCAACTCCAAATCCTAAGCCTAAGCAATAGAAAGCCTAATTTTACAAATCCCGCGAAGCTCATAAACAGCCCGTTAACCTCTACAGAAGCTATGCAAAAGCACTGCAGCTTATGGTGGGCCCAAGAAAGCACCCAGGCGACATGGTGTACTCCACGGTTTCAATACTCCTCGTCTTTCGCCTGCTACGTTCTAGGCCTGAACCCCAAGCCCTTCATCCAAACCCCCCAAAAGCGAAACGCAAAGCCCTCTGCAGTTGGTGGTGGGCCCTTTATCCTTCGCAACTGCCATCTCCACACTCTGGCACTTCCTGCTGCGGCCAGAAAGCTCGCGACCGGGCCGCGAAGTCTGGGGTGTAACAGTGTAGGGTGTAGGCCTGAACCCTAAAAAACTAAGTCGAAGGGCTCTGAGTTGTCGCCGCAGTCTCCAGTAGCCCTCCGTGGACCCCGAAGAGTTCCCAGACCGCTAGCGGTTTTGGTCTCCATCATGCTAGAACTGCTTCGGGAATTTCTGGCTTAGGGCAAGGGGGTTTCAAGGGTTTTGCAAATGGAGGGGTTTATATAGGCTTCAGGCTTTCGTATGGATTTCGGGTTTGGCTGCAATCCTGGGATCCTCACACCTACCTGTAAACCAAAGCCTACATCCGAAGGCATTGCTTGAACCAAAAGCTCTTAAACTCAGAAGCCTAGGCCCAGGACCCCCGGAACCTCTAAACGCCCAGATACGGCCCTAAAGCGCCCAAAAGCTCTAAGCAACAGGCGAACCCTAAGCCCTGAACGCTTCAACCCAGGCTCACTCGACGCCTGCAGCGGTTCGCGGTGGAGCTCAAGAAGCGGCGTCCTCATCCGACTGCCTGCCACAAAGGTCCGTCGCGGGCCATCGCCGCAGCTCTGTCTTGGAGAGTTCAGGGTTTAGAGAGGCCTTCAGGGTTTGGGGTCGAGTGTCTTTTCGGGGCTTAGGGGTTTTCGGGGTTCTTCTCACTCTCTCTCTCTCTGTCTCTCTCTCTCTCTCTCTTCTCTCTTCTCTCTTCTCTCTTCTCTCTTCTCTCTTCTCTCTTCTCTCTTCTCTCTCGCTCTCGCTCTCGCTCTCGCTCTCGCTCTCGCTCTCGCTCTCTCTCTCTCTCTCTCTCTCTCTCTCTCTCTCTCTCTCTCTCTCTCTCCCTGTATATCAGCCTGAAGGCGAGCCCCCAAACCCGAAACACTGAAGCCTAAAGCCCCAAAGCCCCAATACACTGAGCTCTCAAGCCCTAGCCCGAACCCGTGACATCCAAAAGCCCACAAACCCCTCCCATGCCCCACCTAGAACTCCCAACACCTTCTTGTTTTTAATCTGGAAGTCTAAGCGGCCCTCTTACCTTTAACTTAAGAACCTGAAGCCCTACCGAACCATCGAATTCATAGAGGCCCTTTGAGGACCTACTCCGTTAAGGCAAGTGCAAGAACGTGAGACTTGAAGTATGGTGTCCAGGCAGTGTGCCAGAAATCCTGTTGCTGTCCAGCGGCAACCCGGGGATAAGCGGAGCAAGAAAGGCCACATTCTCAAAGAATCGCACCCGCCGCATGTCTATTGTATATGCGATCTGAACCGCAAACCTCGTAAGGACTTAAACCTTAAACACCGAACTCCGAACCCCCCAATCCCGACTGGGTGCCAGCCCGATAGAGCTGAGGTCAGGGATGTCGTGGAGCCTTGGCCACATACAGTCTTAGACAGTCTTAGGGCTTCATGCGAGATTTTCCAGGTGCTTGACGAGGAGCTTTGGAGGGTTTCGTTTTGTAGGGTTTGCAAGCAGGTGAGACCGATGTTTTGCGTTTAACTGCACTTCGGCTGCATGCGTCGTGTGCATTCTGTCTGCGTCTAGCTACATCTTACATCTTGATACATCTTGCTACATGCCTGTGGGCTATTCAAGAGGGCCCAAACCCTGCAAGACACTTTCAGCGCCCAGAGACGCATCAGATCCTACAGAACCTGTTTACAAGCACACCTCAAACCTTGATCTGCTGAGGAGCTGGAAGAAAAATTCGGCGCGTTTATCAAAGACCGCACCTTGGCATCACACGGGAGTCTCCAAAAAGGAGGGACTAGCTTTAGTTTCCCATGCTATCGGTGGGGTGCGGGGGTCCGTCTCGTAATTATTGTATAATGTACCCCCAAAACACTATTCTGAACCGAGCCCCAAGCTAAAGCCCGCCCAGTAAGTGATGCTTGTAAAACCCTGAACTGGGTCCTTGTGAAGGGCTTCAGGTGCCATATTCGAGATATGTATAGACCCGTATACGAGCACATCTATGCATATATATATATATATATGTATATATATATATATATATACACACATGTAATCCGTTCTGTGTCTCCGTATCTCCATATCTCTGTATGTCTGTATGTCTGTATGTCTGTATGTCTGTATGTCTGTCTGTATGTATGTATGTAGGTAGGTGTGTATGTATCTGCGCGTCTGTATGCGTATGTCTATAGATATATGTGTATATACAAATATGTATTCGTATATACATATATATATATATATAGATGTGAATCTGTATATTTATATACACATCATATCCTATGTGTATATATATATACACATACATACATATATATATATATATACATATACATATACGTATACACACACACTCTCTCTCTGTATATATTCTATACATATATGTATAGATATATTAAGATATACACAAATCACATACATATATACATATATGCATATACACACACACACATTCTCAATTCTAGGAGGTTGGCACGGATAGTCTGATGGTGCAACTTAATGGAGACTGGCAGTTCAGGGTTAAGGGCTCATGCCCTTGTGGGGTTTAGTCCTGGGCAAGAATCTCCAACTGTGACAATTCTCTCTGAAGTCAGGGCGCAAGCCCCAAGCCCGAAACCAAAGCAAAGCCCTAAACCTTGAACCCCGGGAACCAAACTCCAAAGCCCTCGCTCAGCCCTGCAACTCCAGTCATAAACCGCCCAATAGTCTAACCCTTTAACCCAACAGAACATGACCCCTAAACCTTGACCCACAAACTCCTGAACCCTGAACCTTGAGCCTCGAACGAGAGATGCGGCAATAAAGGATTACGGCTTAGGCTTCAAGGTTTTTCGGGTTTTCATTGCTTTAAGCTACAAATAATTCAGTATCAGCCCGCCCAAGGAACATACACCACCACCTTCGCAAAGAAAACACCTGACAGAAGTTCTGAAAGCCTGGTTTCCTAAGACCCTAAGCCCTGGTACCTAAACCCTCAACTTGTACCCCTAAACCCTAGGCCTTGCTAAACTTCGGAACTAAATCAGTGCAAGACAGAAGTAAAGCCTTAAAGCGATGCAGAGATCTCATCCCGAAGCCAAGAATGCTCATGTTTTTGCAAAGAAGGAAACATGTGCTTTATTGTTAAAGAAAGGAAACATGTATTACATCGACCCGAACATCTTGCGGCAGCTCACGAAGCACGACAAGCTCTCCTATGCCGAGCTGGAGCTCTGGCCGCCGAAGCATGCTAGATCCTGAAACCTGTAGAGACTTGCTTAGGACTGCGCAGATTGACAAAGGGTTTCCAGGGTTTGTTGAAGGTTGTTTTGTTCATAAATGGGCTCTAGCCGTGGGGGTCCATGGTTCAATCTAAACTTTGAGCTGTCTTTTGGGTTCGGGATCTAACCCTACTGAGGGTCTATCTACCTATATCGGGTCAAAGTATGTACAACGTCGGTGCATTGACCCTTTTGGCAACATTTCTGCAGATAGTGTGTCGCGTCGGGCCTGAAGGGCATTCAAGCGAAGGCCACAACAACCGTTACAAAACTCTATGAAAGCCCATCGTGGTGAATTTAGGGCCACCAACATCGACCTCACAAAAAGGTTCAGTGTTTAGGGTTTGGGGAACACCGAACTTATAAACTCTGATAAGGAACTCTACAAATCACCCTCCAGGACCCTTGCCGTAGTTCAAATCTTCGAAGACGACAAAGCTTGGATATATTCGAAATTCCCCAAGCTCATAGTGCAAAACTGAAAATCCTGCCCTCTGCTTCCTGAAGCTCTGCACTGCACCGTGAGCTGCAAGCCTCACACAATACATGTATCAGGTCGGTCCGCAGATGGTGCAGTGGTTCGCACTTGTGCTGCACATTCGCCATACCTTTGCTGTCCTTATCTCAAGTAGCAGTGCATGATGGAGGCGTCGGTGACGACGACCTGCTGTTGGGGCTTCCTTAACTGATTTCAGGCTTTGGAGCTGAGCTTCTGGAGTATTGGTTCTAGTGAACGTTACGTAGCTCCTGTTGCTCTGGCGACGACGACAAAAGCGACAACTGCAGCTGCCGCTGGCTGCTACTACTGCTACCACAATTACATGCTACTGGTTACAATCTGTTACGGCGAGGTTGCGGGAGGGGTGCGGGCTGCGTAAGCAGCAGCATACCAGCAGCAGCACGAGAACGATCGGGAGCACTAGTCACTGGAGCCATCGTTTAAGAAGCAAGAAGAGCGCCATGCACAACAACAGTCAACACACCAAGGACAGCTCAAGCAACGGTATCGCAACAAGAGAAACAAAACCAATGACTAATAACACATGTAGCAACTACATAGGGGCAACAGCAAGAGCAACGCAAGACGAGAACTACTCAGTAATGGCCACATAAGAACCATAATGGTAATAGTCGGAAAGAGGCGATGAAAGTTAGAACATGTCAGGATAAACCACAGTAGCGAGGAGGTGACGCGACCCCAAATAGCATGCCTGCATCTGCTTTCCAGGTCTGACGATTTCCACTCATCGGTTCTTTAGACGAATGCCCAGGAAACCCCGAAAAGTTGAGCTTGAGGCCTCAAGCGTACATCCTTAACCTTAAAATCCAAGCCGAACACCAAACCCTCATTCAGGTAAGCCACTGGTGGGGCACACAGTTCCGTGTCTACTGCAAGACGCTTCGTCGGCACGCCAAAGCTGTCTGCGATACTTCGGACGAAGCTTCCTGGGGTGGGACCAGCTACTGGATTTGTGGCGGCCTGAGCTGGGGGGGAGTAGTATGGTGTGGGGATATCTACTAGCACCCTTGCGGGTAGAGTCCCCAAAGTAACGAAAGTATAGTGTGCCCTTTAACCCTGTTGAGATTATCACGGCCCCTGTGCTAAGTGGGGGCCACGTCCTCAAGACTCTTGAGGCTACGTTCTTAACAACATTGAATGGCCCTAAACACTGAGCTCCAGAACTTAATCTCTGAACGTAACACACTAGACAAGCTACCGCGGCCGGGTAGTATATTTATCTTGGGACTACAGCGGGGATTCTGGGAGCCCTAAACCCTAAATCCCAAGCCCTGAACTCTCCACCTGGAGCCAGAAACTCTAAGCTTGACCCTGACCCCCCTAGCCCCGAAACCCTAAACGCTATGAGCCTTGAACTCTCAACCCAACGTGGGATTTGGGACTTCAGGCTCACGGGTTCAGCGTTGAAATCCTTACATAGTAAACTTAATTTAGGGTTTGGTGTTTAGGTTTAGGTCAGGTCTCGGTGAACCCTACATCTCTGCGCCAGGTACATTCTCGAACAACCAGTACCACATCAAGGAGGCTTCCTGGATGCACTTAGTCTGATCTCCGAGCTATAGACTACAGACTCGTAGGTCGAACCCCAAACCTCAGGGTTGAGGGCTCCGGGTTTTCTGGCTTCAGATTTTTAGGATAGGGTTTCGGGCTTTTCATCCAGGTTTAACTTCTCAACCTAAATCCTAGCGCACAGGGGAAAGGATCAGAAGAGTTAGTAAGCAATAATTGATTGGGGTTGTATAGAGCTTGCCGACAGAAGCTCCAAACACTAAATCGTAGACCCCGAAACCCCAAAGGGCCCAAACCCCAAGTCCAGCAGCCTAATGCTTAAGAAAATAAGAGCGAGAAAGCCCTCAAGCCCAAACGCCGTAATGCCTGGCTCGTGTAAGCCCTGGACCCGAACCTCGACCTCGAATCATACGTGGAAGTGTAGGTTTTACGTCCTAGCCACTAACAGTACAAGTTAAAGGCGCTTCAGAGCTCGACTTGGCCTGCGGCTGTTGAGATTCTTTCCGGCCATGAGCCTGCTCTTCTGCCCGAGCAAGACTGTAGGGCAGCAGAAGGCGGGCGTCAGCTCACAGATGTTCGAGATTGCCGCGATGGACAGGGGGACCGCTTCCGTTGATGCCATGCGTAAATTCTCTGACGACCTCAAGGAGGTCTTCATGTTGGCGGTGCAAAGGCAGAGTGAACAAACAGCTCAGCTCAAGACGCTGCAGCACGAGTGTGAAGTGCAAGAAGAGAAGATCTCCAAACTCCAAACGGAGCTGGGGGCACTGAAACAGCTTGTCGCCGCGAAGAAAGCAACAGCTCCAGCACCTGCAAGGCCCGGTGTGTGTTCACATGCTGGTGTGATTCAGATGCCGATCATTGAGAGAGAACCGTTGCAAGAAGGTTTGGTTGGTCTGGACACTAAAATCTACCGAAATGCCAGCATCACCTTTAGCCGGGAGCACTTGATTTCGTGCCTGAATACACCTTCAGGAAGCTTTGACATCAGGATGCTCCCGTGCTTGGATGAGCTTGCCCGCGATCTAGGCCGGCCAGAACCCAGCAAGCAGAAACAGAGCTCCAAGGGCTCGAAGACCAACACGTCTGCCGGTTCGCAACAGACTTGGTGCAATTGGCACGGACAGTGGTGGTTCTGGGCTGGGGGCTGGAACAAGTGGGTCCCCAAGTAGCGGGGTCAGCGTTCCAGGCGATATCAGGCGATCATTGTTGCAACAAGCAACATGTGTCACTGCCCTTGGAACTGAATGTCTTGTTACGCACTGCCCGCGTTCTGACAAAAGCAACGGCGTGCAGCTCCATGCTAGGTGGGACCGTAGTCATCCCCCTGCCGTCATCGACGATAGCAATGGGCTCTTTTGGTGTTGATCTCTCGTTTGAGCCTTCTGTGCCAATCCTGAGTCCGAGCTCAAACCCCCATGACCCTCTAAGCTTTTAAACCAAGGATCCCAAATCCTGAATGAAGCACTAGAAGCTCAAGACCTTCAGACGTAGGCTGCCGCCTCCCGGAATTGTTTCATACCCTCACCGCCATGTTCACTCTGTTGACATCTTTATCTTAGTGCTTTCAGCCCTCAGCCCAAGGGTCACTGGGTCCTAAACTTGTGCAGTATCAGGAAGGGCGGGTTGGGGGTTGTTTGAACGCCAGCTAGACCCTCAAGCCTTAAATCTTGGCACCCCGAATCCACCCTGTACGAACCCTTAAACCAGGTCAGAGAATTCAACCCCAAGGCCAAACTTCCAAACTTCTTGAAGCCCCAAGCCTGCATCGCAACCCCTAGAAACCTAAATGGTAAGCTTTTTACCGAATCCCACGACCTCAAACCAACAAACATCTAAACAACAACAAGCAACACGCTTGAACACCAGCAAAAGATGCAAAAACCAGGCTTACACCAATGAAGCTTGCAACAAAACTCTCTAGCCAGCAAAGGAGCTTGGGAAATCCCATGTGGAGTCCTCCTTCTACCTCGCCTTGCACAGTGGAATGTGCCAAGGCGTGCGCTTCCTTCTTTTGGAGTCCTTTGTGTTTTCTGCGGTGTGGGGTCGGGTTCAGGGTTGGGGTTCCACAAAGGTTTCAGGGTCAGCATTTGTAGGGATTTCAGGTTTGTTACAGGTTCAATCGAGTCTTGGGGTTTATATATGGAGAAGGTAAGGTTTGCAAAGGGTTCAACAGTGTTTGGATTTAGAATCTCAGCCGGGTCTTGGTCCGTGCCTTCTGGGGTTCAGGGGCCTAGAGTTGTGGGTCGATGGTGCGTCGGAAGAGGCACATACAATTTTTTTCGCAACGTCCCAAACCACTCTTGAGCTTGAGCTTAAAAGCCGTACACCTACCCTTACAGAGCCCTTAAAAGAATCCTTCAAGGAACCCTTGCACCCTAAGGCCATCCTGAAAAAGCACAGCTCGGATCAGGTCTGAAGAAGCGGGTGCATTTGAAGTCTTCGGGCCTAACCCAAACCCCAAAAGTGGGAAACTTGATCATGGACAACTGGTGCTGGGATTCCTTATGCATGAACTGGTTTGGGGGTTGGGGGGTTGCGGGCTGGGGTGTTTAGGGTTTAGAGCTTAGCTTTGGTTAAAGGTTGTGAATTAGGGTTAGCTTGCTAAGCTCTGCATCCGAAACCCTACTCGAAACAAGCCTTGTCCCTATTCCCAGAAGCCCTTCAAGCTTCGGGAGCACTGTAGGATCGCAGCCAGGATAACCCATCAGACCCGTATAAAGCCCTTCAAACAATGAAACAAATGAAACTATTGAAGGTAATTAAGAATTTTTTAAGTTAGTTGAAACAGTTAAATTAGTCAAAAATCAACATAATGCCAATAACTAGATTAGCTAAATTATTGAAATTAATCAAATGAAATAATTGAGGTAAATGAATCGAATAAGTTAATACATTGGTGAATTAAATTAGTACATGAAGTTAACTAATTACATGAGTTAATTCAATTAAATTCAATTATGATAATTAAACTAACCAAGTTAACGTAATTAGTTAAGCACTCGAGTTATTAAATCAGTTAGATTAATGAAATTAAGTACTCAATACAACCCTTTCAAAACATTATGAAGCTGAATACAGCCTATGCTTTCAGCTTTCACAACCTCCTACGGATGCCAGGTACGTGCATGATACTTGATGAGATGGCGATGCCGCTGAAGAGGCGCCGGTGCTCAGGGTTAGGGTTTAGGCAGGCAGTCTTGGGACAATCCAGAAGCGAATCACTTGTGGATCAACTGCATAAGGTATGACGGCTCAAAGGATCTAAAGCGATCTGTAGGGGTGGTTTAGATCAGCCTTGGAAGATTCGTCTTCACTGTTGCCATAAAAAGGCTCATCACCATCGCGAGTATGCAAAGAGGCTACCACTGGCTGACTACCAAACAGTTCGTCTCACGTTTTCATGACTGCTTAGCAAGAAGATTTGTGCCGGCATGATAATCAAGTTTGTGGAGCTCCGCAACCCCACGTGAAGCAACATGAAGTCTTGTCCTACCATGACACACTGATAATTCAGAAAATTGGAAACACCCTGCCACCATATAACGGCACTGGTGAAGCCTGCGACACCTTGCAACGACCTATCGAAAGCCTTTTGCAGCGTCTTACCAGCTCTCTCGACCCACCTATATAAGCCTTAAACCCTAAACTGGTTGCAGCCTTAGTGCGGCACTAGATGAGACTTCAAGGCCGAGAGAACCCCAAGCCCGACGCGACCTACGAGCGTCCGGGGTTGGGGGTTCAGGGTTGTGGGTTGGGGGGTTGGGGGTTCAGAGGGTTCAGGGGCAGGGCTGAAGCATGTTTCCAGCACTCAGCGAAATGCCAAATCCTCAAACCCCAACCTCTCGGCCAGATAAAACTCGGGACGGGGCTCTTGCAAGATACAAACCCTAAGCTCTAAGCGCAGGTCCTGGTGCCTCTTCGAGCTGCTTCAGACCATTGAGCTGGAGAGAACTCAGGCCGAAGTCGGAGCTTCGGGGTTTAACGTTAGTAATTAGAAGATGCTCATGAAGTGGACTATACCACGTAATTATGTGGGCACGTATACTAGCGTCTAAGGGCTTTGTGAGGGTTTAGGGTTTGGCGTGTCAGATTGTCGGGGTGTTCCGATTTAGGGATTTAGGCGTGTTACTGTTGAGGGTTTAAGGTTGAAGGGTGTAGGTCTTTTTTTTGGGATATGGTCTCAAGGTTTAGGTTTAAAGCTTAACCGTTAGGCCAGGCCCTTTCCCCCTCAGCCAGACCCTGACCCCACCCAAAAAAATCCTCCGCCCTTTAAAATCCGTAAAGGAATTGAGCGTCCCCAGGCTGCATGTAGGGTGATTAGGTTATTGTGAGGCATTGGGGGCGAGTATTTGGGGTTATATTTCCTTGAGGATTCGGGATACTTGAGGACTAGCAAACAGCGTCGAGCCCAAGCCTTCATGAGACCCGTAGCTCTCCCACCGTGAGGGGCCCCACTTGAAGGATTATGGGTTTATTGTCTTCGAGAGTGTTTCAGAGGGCTGAGTTGGGGTGTCTTGGGCTTCAGAGTGTCTAGGGTCTTGAAGGATTTAGGAAGTCGGCTCTATTCCGAATGTCCACAATCAGTGTAATTCTAATGGAACCCTCAAACCCCGAACCGACACCTGCCTTACAACACCACCGAAAAAACCGTCTATAAGCCAAGTAAGGCAGCACCTGCAAGCCTTAGCACTGAGACCCTTAAGGCCCCTATCCTACCAGTCAGAACATGTTCGGCGCAGGCGAACTTCCGAGGTCTCCTTTTCTGCACCGAACACGGCGTGCCTCGGTGTTGTAAGGGGTGTTTTTGGGTTCGGGAGTTTAGGGTTTAGGGTAGGGGTGTTGAGGGTGTGGGAGTTCACTCACTAATTCTTGAAGGGTGAGGGGTGGGCGTCGATATTCGTATGTTTGCATGGTTTGTGAAGTCAATTCTTGAGTGGCTTGTGTTGTCAACTGTTGCTGCTTATTTGAGTGTGTGTCTGTGTGGCTGTTTTTTTTGGTGTGTGTGTGTGTGTGTGTGCGCCTGTGTGTTTGTTTTGGGCTTCCCTAGCAAATGCCCGAACACAAAAGCGCCTGCTGGCAGGCCCTAAGGTGCACTTCAGATTTTTTGGGGTTTCAGGTTTGGAGCAGCTAAGCTGTACACAGGATTGCAAGCACCCTGCAAACATGAGCAGAGCTTGGCCGGACTCAAACTTCAAACCTCAAACCCTGAATCCGAAGCCGGAATCGGCTGTGCTGCGCAGGCCGGGGGTCTTCTTGTAGTCGAAACCCTAAAACACCCAAGTAAGTCCTGTCCTGAACACCCAACCCAAGAGCAACATCCACAAGCAAGAGCCCGTCCTGAGTGTTGGAGCCCCCTGACAAAGAAACATGGGAGTCTCCCAAAATTAGGGGTACCCTTGTTTTGGGGTCCTTATAATACGGATCCTTCTATTTAGGATACTATACTAGGGTCCCCTATTTTCGGAAACTCCCACATAATGCATCAACTTCAAGACCTGTTTTGACGCCACCAGAAATTCAGAGCCGACCCTGAAATTTAGGAAAACAATATGGAAAGCCTTAACCCGAAGAATCAGAGCCAGGTCCAAAATCTTGGAGTCAACCCTAAACCCTGACAACAATCCAGAAATCCCTAGAGCCGAGAAACCCAACCGAAAAGCATAGCCAGGTCGGAGCCTTCTGGGACCCTGAAGCCCTAAATCCACAGAAAGAGTCAACGAGAGAAAGAGCAAGAGAGAGAAGGCTCCAGGTCCTAAGCTTCGGAGCCAACCCCTTGCACCCGTAGGCTTAGAACAATCCCGAACTCCCCAGAGCCCCGAAAAAGCAAACTATACGGGCCTTAATAATCAGAATAGGGCTTTGGGGCCCATGATACATAAAGAACCCCCCCGAAACTAGCATGACTACTTATTAAGCCCCCTATAATAATCAGGTCCTAAACTTTGGAGCCTCGACGGTGGAGATGTCCATGCAAATCGGCGAGCGCCTCGCCTCTCTGAGCCTCCGGGACGCTGAAGCGACCACCGAGGAGGACGGGATTTCCTGGGTTTGTGCTTGAAAATTTAAGGGTTTGAAGGTTTGGGATTTAGCGTCGGGGTTTACGGGTTTCAGGGTTTCAGGTTTAAGGCTTTAGGCCCGTACGAACTAGGCTTTGCAAGAGGGTTTTCGAAGCCCAGGCCATGTCAGAGTTTTTGTTAGAACATCAGGGTTGCATAAGGGTCTTATGTGACTTCCACAAGAGAGATTGTATTCCGGGCTATCTGTGTCGGATGTTCCGTCCGCCTGGGTTCTTGTACAGGAACTTAAATTGATTCACAAAAACAGTGATCTATATACTAAGTAAAATATGGTTTCCCGATATGCTAACTTAGTCGTATATTCGTTTCACACGAGCCCAGTTGAAGGATAAGAACATGATCGCCAAGCTGGTGCTGCCGCTTGGAGTTGAAGATGTGAAGGGCTTAGGGCTTAGGGTTTAGGGTGTTCTAGATCGATATGTACCCTCACTAGGGTTCGGGTATTTCTAGAGGCTAGCCTAGGGTTAGAGTCTTTTCGATTGAGGGTTCGGGCTGGGGTTTATGGGTGGATTCAGGGTTTGGGGTTTCGTGCATGGCTTGGATTGAAGGTTCAAGGTAAAACAATCCGAAACCCAGACACTGACCGTTTGTTAGGCTCCTTGCATCGCGTGGGTGCCTTGTACCATGAACCCCACAGTAGGGTTAATAGCCCGAGAGTGGGATGCGCATATGGCCGGGATAGTCGGTGTTTGAAATGGTTGTAGAATGGTGGCCAAGCTTGCAGCTGGAAAAACTTTCACTTCAGGGCTTCGCTTTGTTTTTATGATCTTTCGCAAGAAAGGAGACGGCTTTGGACGTGTTTTAGTTTAGTGATTTTTGTAAGAATTTTTAGAACGGTATGATATTGAGAGCGGTGGTAATGGTATTGAAAAAGGTTTCGGGATTAATTGAATTTTGAAGGGTTTAACGCAGGTTTTAGAAGTCTGTTTTGGGGGTTCTTATCGTGGGAAGATTTTCGGAGTGTTTTTTGTTATCAAAGTTGCAGGAAGGTTTAAAGGGTGCTGAGACGGGTCCGCATATGAATTTTGCAGGGGCTTAAAGTAAGCATGTTTCGGAAGGGCTTTGATGGAAAATGTTGGAAGGGTCTTACTCTGGTTGAATGAGACATTTGGAAGGGTCGTAGAGGTTTAATGACAGTGACATATTCGGGTTCTATGGGAAGAGAGCAATGGTGTGTAGCATGGGGAGACGTTTTCATGGTTGTATCTTCAAAGCCCCCCCCTTCCCCAGTCTTGCCCCCATCCGGTTCTCCCTCCCTCTTTCCAATATTTCCGCCCCTGTTTGCGTCATTTTGGGTTGGAGTTTGAACCTTTTTACGGTGCTAGTTGGACATGTTCCGGGCCCTTCTTCCTGGCTTTCAATTCCCTTCCCTTCTTCCCCCCCAACGGGTATCCCTCTTGCTTCTTGTGCGTGATTTCGGTTTGGATGTTGGAGTGTTCAGGATGCTAGTTGGATACACTTGTGCCCCCCTTCTCTATGAAAGATCTTAAGTCCTATACTCGATACCCTAGCTGATTCGGCCGGGGCGGGTACGCAGAGCGCTAACATTAAAACCCTGCTGTGCTCGTGACAACCTACTATGACGATGCTCAATATGATGATAAGCTTGTGTTATGTTTGCAAAAATGCGGTGCTGCTGTTATTGATGTTGTTGGTGGTTGTGTTTCGTGGCGGTGCAGGTGGTGGTGCTGGTGAAGTTCATAACGGCATAGTCATGCTCATCGACAGCAATGAGATGGAATTATTGTTTTGTGATAAGTTCCAAGGCTCAGTGCCTCGATGCATTCTGAAGTAATTATGGTGTTAGGGCTCCTGTTCGGACCTTGTGTTCCTACCCAAAGTTGGTATCTTACTTGCCTTGTGCTGATATCTCAGTTGTGTTGCCGACCCCTGCTTGCTTTGCGTACCTTCGACCGCGATTTTCTAGACCTTACATTCCCAGGCCGTCGTAGCAGTGGTTGTGATCGCCGTCGCCTTGGTCGTCGTCGTCGTCCTCCTCTGAAAGTAGCATTCATCATAGCTGTCATAGCAATAGAATACCATGACAGAAACAGCTACGGCGACGGTAAATACAACGGGAACAGCCTTGATGACGATAGCCCCGATGGCGAATCGGCCTGCTGGGAGGAAGGGTCTCAAGAGGTGACAGCTTCTGGCTCACAACTCTTTTGCCAAACCTCGTCTCACCTTCGTCTAGATGGCGGTCATGGCCGCCGTGGATCTAGCCATGTCGCCTGGGCTGTGTTGCAGGTATGTCAAGCTTCCAGGCAACGGCTCGGTTCACGAATGCTAGATGTGCCATGTTTAATATGTCGCACGAGCATAACCGCAAAACGCACCTGGGGGAAGTCCAAACAGTCAGCACCAGCGAAGCCTTTGCAACCTGCATCTGCGCACGCCTGCATCACATGTAAGACTGGCCGCCGCTTGCTGCACGAAAAATGTTGTCTCCTAAGGGCGGTGCATGTGTGTGTGTGTGTGTGTGTGCGTGTGTGTACAAAGACTTCACTTGCTTTTGTTTGCTCTGCGGTGCAGATATTTTGCTCAGTAGCTCAGCAGACTAGTTGCTCACCACGGCCGCCCAAAATATTTTCGGTGGGCCCGGCGCTTTTGACAAAACGCCCTTCACCATCCTATTCTTCTGTCTGGTTTTTCTGCCATGCTCGGTCTGCGCAGATCGCTTGTACAGCGACGCAAAGTATCGCCAAGTGCTTCCATTATTTGAGCTTGCGGAGCCGGACTTAATGTGACGAACGATTGTGTAATTGCGGTCCGGGATGCTCGTGCGGAAGTACTCCAATGGGAGTGCAAAAAGGAGCCAGGCACTCATTCTCCTGCGATCACCAGGCCAGCACATGTCGTCATGGTATTAAGGGGAAAAAACAGCAATCGTGAAGTCCAAGGCACGTCGTGTCGTCCTGCAGCTTTGTGCGAGAAGACTGTTGTTTTGTAGGTGGTCTTTTGGTGGAAACTTGCTTTCCTGGTCCTTGTGCTCTTCCACCGTGGTCCGACGGCGACCGCTAATCTGTGAATGATGTCGGTGGAGAAATCCTGAAAATTGATTTTGGACGCCCAACCTCAATATGCGAGAGAGGCATTTCTAGACTCACAGAAGTTCCACTTCGTTTCAGCCCACCTCCAATATAGCTGGAGGGTGCTGTCTCGGAGCCAGGGTTGGGTTGGGCTGGGATGGCTGGAGGTTCTCCGACGCTGCCGACGTAGCTAGAGAACAGGGGCTCGCCGATACGTGGCAGCAATACTCGCAGCTGAAGGTTACATTGGGTGGTGTCCGATTGGTGAAAGCTCCATTCAAGCATGGCTCCAAGTTGATGTCCAAGAACGGAGGTCTGGAGGCTTTAGGTTTCCGATTCCTGCCAGCCAGCACACCTCTAACATGGCTGGAGGATGGTGCTATCCAGGAACCGGGGTTAGGCTGGGGATGGCTTGGGGCGACCCGATAAATGGCAGGACACATCCAACATAGCTGGAAAAGGTTGTCGAACAACAGGGGTTGTGTGGGTGATATCCGGCAACTGCCAGCAAAAGCACATGTCCCACCCAGCTGGAAGGTGAACGAGGGTTGTTTTGGCGATGTCCGATCTGCGGCAGCACGCATCCAACGTAGCTGTCCAAGCGCCTGGGTTGGGCTGGTCTGGAAGCCACCCTACTCGCAGCTTGAGGCTGCACGGAGGTTGTGTCGCGGGAGAGCGGTGTCTCAGAACGAGGGTCCTCCTCACTGCTCGGGCTTTGCGATATGTGGCCGGGGGATGGCTGATGAGGGCTTCTTCGTAAACACTTCGTGAGTAGTCTCCACACGGCGTCCAATTGAAAAAGAGTAGCAGTAGCATTAGCAGTAGCAGTAGTAGTAGTAGTAGTAGCAGTAGTCGTATTAGGTGTAGCAGCAGTAGTAGTAGAAGTAGTGGTGGTCGTAGTAGTAGTAGTAGTAGTATCAGTAGTAGTAGTCGTAGTAGTAGGGGGGGCCTTGATCAGCGGGGGGTAGGGAATGGGTTACAGGAGGCAGGCGGGAGGGGGGAGGGGGGGAGGGGGGAGTGCTAACAAATTGGATTGTATAGCGGAATTTTGCACACACGCACATACAGACACACTCTCTCTCTCTCTTTCTCTCTCTGTCTCTCTCTCTCTCTCTCTCTCTCTCTCTCTCTCTCTCTCTCTCTCACTCTCTCTTGGCAGGTCTTGCCCGAGTTGAAGGAACTGTTCGCTTGCCTTGCCGGGGCATTGTGACTGTTATGTCAGGTTACGGCTTCGTGCACTTCGAAGCTGAGGGTACAGCAAAGCATGCTATCGAGAGCCCAAACCTCAGAGCACGTCACGGCTTGTCGTTCAATCATGAGCGGTCCGGCCGTTCGCAATTCAGGGATGCACGGCATGCAGATCGGCGAGCTGACAGTTGCTGTCAGCAGCTTTAAGCGAGATGAGCGGAACCGCACCAATCTATACATCAAGAACTTGCCGGAGGAGCTTCCGGCAACTTTGATGTAGCAGCCGGTCACAACACAGTGTCAGGGCCGACCATCATGCGGACCAGGTCCTGCGTAATCTGGGTTTGCCAGATTGCGTGCTGGACCGGTTCGCCGCTACAGTGGGCTGCTAGCCCACGATCTTCCAAAGGGTCAGCATCGTTAGACTCCACAACGCCACAGCCGTGAAGCCCAGAGTCGACTCATTTGTAGCCGAGGCCCCCAACCTGCAGGATTCTAGGCAGGGTTTAGATCGTTTAGCCCCTTAGAGCCACTAAACGATCTAAACAAGCTCCAAACGGAATCCACAAGTGGAGCCCGCAACAAGGTAACTTCCCACTGCATTGGTTAAAAAATGTCAAGATGCAACCTTTATGGGCGCACAAACAATTCAATACCCTAAACTCCCGAAGCCTTGAACCCTAAAAATCGTAAACCTTGAGCCCTAAAACCGTATAAGACCTTTTGGGCAGGCAGCCCTTTTCCAGGCAGTAGCTGGAGAAAAATGCTAAACTTTAGCGCCCTCAAAAAGCTCATCATACAGACTTTTTGGCTTTAATAAGGTAATTCTTACCTTTAAAATCCTATGCTGGCAGTAAGACTCTATCAAAGTCATGCCCGAAAACCCTTAAACAACACTTACAGAATCTCTTATTGGAACCCCAATGTTTAAAGGCAGCTGAACCCCAACCCGTTGCGGAGTCCCCAAGGCAACAGATGGAAAGCTTTGGCAAAATCGATGCTGCCCTCCGGGAGCACGTCAGTGCGGCCTTGGGAATCTGCAGGACACGACCCGCAAACAAGTTTCGCAAATCGCCAGTGGTCTCGAAGGATTCTATGGGGTGAATAGGTTTGTCTTGCAATCCAGGACTGTTAGTTGGGATTCATAGGTTTGATGGGTTGGTTTATCGGGGTTTACAAGGATTTTGTAGGGAAGTGTGGGATTTTCATGGGTTTGGCAGTGTTGTGTGGGTTTTACTCACAGTGTTTTATTCGGGATTTGATGGGGTTCCACAGGGTTGCGTAGGGATGTGCAAGGGCTTGATAAGGGCTAGTAGGGTTTTTGTCTAAAGTACGGTTTCGAAAGGGTTGTGTGAGGGGTTTAAAAGGTTGTGCAAGGTTTTACTCGGATTGTACGTGTGCGCACGCCCCGGTCATGTGAGAGGCGTTTGACCTGCATAATCAAGTGCGGTGCTTCGGTCTTTGGGTGATTCGGAGAAAAGGAGATTTAGTTGCCTGGTTTCAGATTGGAGGTTTAAGTTTGGCGCACCAGGCCACATGCGCAAGTTTCGAGCGCAGTTTGAGGTGAGATGGTGTACAGACACGGGGCAGAGCAACGTGATGACGGGGGTGGCAGCGCTGAGGGGCCCTGCTTGAAACACATCTCTCTAGTGATCGAGAGGAAGCATGTCAAATTTTGGGCAGTTTGTGCGCACAAGTGCTCGACGACAAGGTGCCAGAATCCGTCTGGAAAGATCGCGCGACTTGGTCGGCGACGGTTCGAATCGAAAGCAAGCTGGGGAAACTATCAGGGGACAGCCTCCCCAGGCTATGTAACCCAGTGTTTCGGGAATCCACCGCAATCTAGTTCCTGTCGCCCGACGTTTGTAAGGGACTCTTTGATCCATAAGCCAGCTTCTGTAGTAGGGGTTATACAAGTTGTGTTGGAATCCTAATGTGATGGGCCTGGAAGAATCGGGTTGATTAATCATGGGTCTACATCTGACGGGAGGATTGAGGTTTAGGGTGCAGGGAGTGGGTTTTCAGTTTGAGTTTAGGTAAATAGCATGTGGAGCTCCTTGAGGGAAGCAAGCGAGTAAATCCAAGATCCCCTGAGGGTACCTCAAAAGCACTGAGAGGTCGAACGCTTAAATTACGAAGAACCCTACAGGCCCTGGAACCCCTGAGATTCCAGCCCACGCCCTGAAACCGAATGCCGAAACCTTAGCAGCCCCCGAGTTGTAAACCCTAGATCCTAAAGCCAAAAGCTCCAAACCGTACAGCCTCACAGAGCCCGGAACCCTGCAACCCTGAAGCTGCAGGAACCGTGTGGACACAGACTTCGCATCTGGGCTGCAGTCAGCGACCCCATAAGAACATTCTTTCAATTTTTCATCCACGAAGGAGCCCTCAAAAGAACCGTTCTAAGAGCCTTTCGCGCAACCTTTAATGGATCCCTTGAACGGACCCTGTTCTAGACCCCTATTCTGGAACCCTACGGGAGACCCTATTCTGGAACCCTACAGATACCTTTAAGGGACCCTTAGAGGATCCCTTAAAGGGATCCCTTCAGAGAGCCTTAAAGGGGGTCTTGAAAGGAACCACTGGACGCCCAGGCGAAGCTCTTCCGCAAGCTCGGAGCGCTCCGAGTAGAAAGCGAAAGCGAAGGTCCGGGAGCCTCAAAAGCTGGGATGAGGGTCTCGGGTCTCCAAGGTCTTGAAGGGTTTAGGATTTAGGGTCTACTGCCTGGTTCTTAGTAGGGACTGGGGGAATGGATCATGGAGACTACTATTGGGGATATTAGGGACTACTATAGGGATCCACCCCCATTCCCTACAAAACACCAGGGAGTCTAGGGTTTTGAGGATTTAGTGTTGAGGGTTTTGAGGGCCCTGAACCCCAAACCCGATAGTTAGGCGGGAAATGGTGGGAATAAAGATCCCCTAGATGAGGACTCTCGTTTGTGAATGTTCCACCTATCCTAAACCCTGCACCCTACTTTCATCCAACCTCTGCACCTCTTCGAAAGGTCAGTTTTCGGAGCTACCGCCTCCCGCAGAGGAAATGCTGGCCTGTGCCTGCTGAGATGCGCATAGGCGATGATTAGAATAGGGTTTTGATCACAGGATAAACGAAAAGTGTGAGGAGCCACAAGGAATAAGATGATTAGTTCAATTCCGGCATTCGTTAGACTTCTTTGGATTTAGGCTTTTAGGTTTGCAGGGTTTAGGGTTTGTTTGGGGTTAAGAAGCGAAGTCAGTTGTGGTTCTGGAGTATATAGGCTTGTTTGTTTCAATTTGCGCCGTGCTTCCCGGCTGAAAACACTTCGGTTGAAAGTGTGTGGCTGGGGCCTTTCCTGCACGCTGCGTTCTCAACGGAGCACGGACTTAGGATGCAAGCATTGATTGGTAAATAGGCTTTAGGGTTTAAGGTTTAACAGTGTGCACAGTTCAGTGAGAGGTAAGGGCTACGCAGTGAACAAGAATGACCACAAGGGCGCAGGTTTCTTGCACGGTCGTCCGCTGCTCATCCAACAGCAGTAGATTTTAGACTTTTAGACTCCTAGGGTCTACTTGGAGGTGTATGCGCAGTTGGGTACAGCACGTGGTAGCTGTAGTCCGCAAACCTAAACCCTGAGGATTCCTGAGCAGTAACACCCTGCGACTTAAAGGTCCCATGAACTTGATATTCGAAAGCCCTGCAAGAAACTATCCTGAACCCTAGATGCCTAACTTCCGAATATCTCAAGACCCCCACGGACTTCAGCTCTGCAACCCGACCCCCGGCTGACCTCCAAGCAGAATTTTGTTTTAAGTCTGCGTAGGTCCAAGACCCGCGCAGACGGCCCGAAGCCAGAGACACCAAAACCCCTTAACCGCGGAATAGAGCTTCGAAGCATAACCCTAAACCCTAATCGAAGGTTTTCTGCTTGAGTAGGGGGTTTGGGGGTCTCTGAGACCTACAACCTGCGTGCAGGGCCCTCAAAGAGGCCCTGCACTATGCGCTTCGGATGTCCGGTGTCGGACGCGTCTCAGGATTCCTAAATAGCGACTTCAATTCGGGTCTAGGGCTTGGGGTTCGGAAGGGTCGATCTTGGGGTTTGGGTTTATTTTCAAGGTTCCACAACATTAGTAGCCGTAGCCGTAGCAGTAGCAGCAGCAATTGCAGCAGCAAAGCCCCCTGCCAAAATCCTTAAATCCTGGCAGCAGAGGACAGCCCTGAAGCAGAGCCGTCACGCCATCTTCCTCTTTGTAGCAGCAGCAGAGGGGGCTGAATCATTGGTGACAACATTCCTTTATGGTCAGAGTAAGATAACCATAATCTCAAAGCCTATTCTCATTGCACGCTTTGCTACAAATCAACACCTCGAAGCAATCTGGCGGCGCAGCCTCTTGGCCCGATAGAAGATCGAAGAAGCAGCGACTGATGTCGAAAGAGACGGAGCTCATCGTCTCTATCGACCAGGCCTGGACGCGCTTCGTGGGGCTGTTCGGGGTTTGCGGAGTAAGAGTTATGCCTGTGAGGGTATAAGGTTTAGAGGAAATCTTGTTGGGGGCTATGTAGACTAATTTTTCAAGAGTGCTTGGTTCAGAAGGTTTTTATATGCTGCCTTCGAAGGGTTTCGCAAGCGCTATATCGGGTCTCGTGTTCTTTTTTCGGTGGTTTTGCCTCGGCAAATTTAGGGTGTTCGGGGTTGAGGGTTGTGGGGTTCTGGGTTTAGAGGCTCAGAGTTTAGACAAGCCGAACCGTGGCAACCACCGGTGCCGCAACAGTCCAAAAGCCCCAACACCTAAGCCCTATCCTGTAAACTCAGAAACCGAAAGGGCCCTAAACCCTAACCTTCTAGACCCCAAACCGGAATATCCCGAAACCGTGCAACCCAACAGCGTACGTTTGGTGCAGGCCTTATGGCCTAAGGGCGTGGTGAGATCGTTGAGTGGCGTGTCGGGTGCCCAAGTAGCCGTGTAGGATCAGAGCAGGGCGACAGACGGGTATTAGGAGTGTACGAATCTCATATCAGGTTTTCTTACAATGCTTGTATCCGGTGACTTCAGGGACACGGTTTGTCATATGTTTTCTAGAACACTTCATGGAAGGACCTTATACACATTATGGGGGAATTGTACAGACACCTGTTGCTCTCAGTGGAGCGTTGGCCGGAGGGCTTTATACCGCCCAGTGTCTATCCTGGCAATGCTTTTACATGTGACTGCATCCGTTCTGAATTCGAGATGCTGCACCCTTACTATAGGGGCTGAATAGTTAGCAATATGATTTCTTTATCGCCATTGAAGAGTTTGAATATCAGAAAACGCAAACGCCTTGTTGTGGTTGTTAAGGCTCCTGCTTTATATTCATCCAGTTTCAGCCAAGCCAGACCCTTATAAAACATCTTGTAGACACTTTTATTCGACCTTTTATTGAGTCCTTGAAGGAACACTGTAAGTATACGGCCCTGTCCCTATATCAAGGTTGAGAAACCTTGGGGACAAGCATGGGAACATCGTGTCGGGCTGAGAGAAGTGTTTGCTGAATTTGGTCTTGGCTTAAGGGCTCTTGGGCATTTCTTCGGCTTTATGCCTTGTTTGGGTTGTGGTTTGTCCTTCAGGTCTCTGCAACACATATGCTTTGCTCACGTCGTGAGGGGAGTATAGTTTTGGGATTCAAGGGGCGCGGGGGTTTCGCCGAAACTATAAACTCTACGGCTCTACGGCTTTACATTCGTTAAATTCGGATTTGGGGGTTGTTTTATCTGGTAGGGAGGACTCTGAGCTTTCGGGTTTAGGGTTCGCAGATGTGGAGGCTCAGGATTTTCGGGCTCAGGAGGTCGAGATTCTACGTACGGCTCAGTTCGGTCAGAATCAGTAGTAAAGATACAAGTCAGAGTACTTATACAATTCCTGTTTAGTATGCCCTGCAGCATTAGTTTGGTTGTTAAAGCTTTGTTGGTTTCGGGGTTCAAGGTTCAGGGAGAAGTAGTGCTTGCTTTGAGTTGAACGCAAACTCACAGCACCAAACCCGTAACACACCAACCCCGAAAAGCATCTATATATAGATACACAGGGGTTTTCGCACTTATATAAAAACATCTTTGTATATATATATGTATATGTATATGTATATGT